CGCACACGGCTTCTTGGCGAGTTTCACGATGCGCCCGGCTCCGGACATTTTGGTGTCAACCGTACACTTGGCCGACTTCGCTTGCGGTTCTATTGGCCCGACCTTCTCAAGGACACCACCCGCTATTGTGAGTCGTGCGAAGTCTGTCGGCGTTGCAAGTCACGCAACCATCGCCCGTTCGGCGAGCTACACCCATTACCAGTGCCCCTTGGGCGACGGGAAGCAATTGCTATGGATATCACCGGCCCCTTCCCGAAGCACAAGATCGGCGTTGATGGGATCCTCACGGTCGTCGACCGCCTCACCAAGTACGCCATGTTTTTGCCTTGCCGCTATCACGCAAAGGCACCGGAGTTAGCCGAGGTCTTRTACACSGGTTGGATTCGCTCCAAGGGCTACCCCAAGGAGATCGTTTGCGACCGGGACACTCGCTTTCTCTCCGACTTTTGGGTCGCCSTCGTCAAGCGATGGGGCTCATCTTTGAAGTCGAGTTCGGCTCGCCACCCGCAAACCGATGGTCAAACGGAAAGGGCGCATCAGACCGCTCAAGTCCTTCTACACACTCTCATCCGTCCCGACCAGGTTGATTGGGTTGAGCGCTTGCCAGACGTTGAGTTGGTTTACAACTCATCGATCCATCCGGCTATCGGGATGTCGACATTCGAGTTTGAGCATGGTTCACCCATCTCATCACCGTTGGACGCCACTTTGCCACGCACAGCCGAGAGCGACGACCATCTTGCGTTCCTTCGTCGCATGCAAGAGCTTCTTGTCAAGGCACGGGATCAGATGTCGAAGACGCAAATACGGATGAGCCGTCAAGCCAACCGCAATCGCCTTCCTTGCCCATTCCGCGCCGGCGATCTGGTTTGGGTCTCCGCCGCGGAGTTCAGCCTCGAGCAAGACATCTCTCGCAAGCTCCTTCCCAAGTGGATGGGGCCGTGGCGCATTCTCTCTGCAGTTGGTGATGATCCCGAGGGGCCTTCATTCCGCATCCCGGTGCCACCTCACTTGCCCGTCCACACGGTGTTCCACTATTCCAAACTCGCTCCTTTCGTATCAGCGGAGTCCGACGAGTTTCCCGGTCGACGTACGCAAGACCCTCCTTCCATGGACGGATTTCAGGAGGCCGGCTACATCATCACCGACCGGCGCCATGGCAACAAAGAAACAGAGTTTCTACTTCACTTTTCCTACTGCAGCCACAGGGCTGACCGTTGGCTGACGCGTTCGGAACTGCAGGCCACAGCTCCCGCCGTTCTCTCACGTTATCTTAGCAAAGGGAAGACTACGCCGAGCACTCCAGCTCCTCGCCTTCCTCGCTACATTCCGCCATCGGATCTGCAGCTTCGCCCGCGCCCCGGCTCGTCTTCACAAGGAGGGGGGCGTGTTACATGCTGAAAGCCTACACACGGGCCCCTCACGGGACCCGAGGTTGGAATAGGGCCCCCAGGTCGCGTCACCGCAACCTGAAGGCCCTATGGCATTCTTACTTGGGCCTGCATCAAAAAAACGCCAGCTTTAGATTATTTTTATATTCTTTTATTTATTTATTTGCTGTTGTTTTTCTAACGGTTGTACTGTTGTCCGTTTTGTGGGTAGGTACACGTTTTAGGACCAGGGCCAGATTCAGGACCAGAGGCTGAGCTCCTAAAAACGTTTGGACCTTTTCTTTTGTTTTCAAACAGATTGCTACCTGTTCGGACCCAGGCCGACGTTGAGGCCGGGTACGTCCGCACAGGACCGGTTCGAAACCAGGTACTAGGAAACTGAATCCTGGACAGGGCCTGGACGTCCGGTAGGGACCCAGGCAGGCCATTTTAGGCCAAGGGCTGAACCAGTTTCAAAGCCTGCGATCTGGACCGTGGATCGGATTTCGATCTGCACGGCCCAGAACGCAGGCCGTGGGTTTTCAGTCCTGGCCCAGCGCTACATAAGTTGGGCCGTTGCCCAGTTCGTGGACAGAAGGTACCAGGAGAAATCCAGCGTTATGCTGGTTCAGGAACTTGGATGCTGCACTATTTTGGAGACTCCCTGCTGCGCTACTTCGAGACTGCAGCTGCGCTGCTCATCGGCAATGAGGCACAGCGCTGGAGGAGTCCAACGCCGAGGAGAGTAGTAGAGAGAGAGAGAGAGAGAGAGAGAGAGAGAGAGAGAGAGAGAGAGAGAGAGAGAGAGAGAGAGAGAGAGAGAGAGAGAGAAGAGGACTTACCYSCCCAGCGCCATAGCTGGCTCCGCGGTACCTGCAAGTTCAGCCATCGCCAGGTAAGTGCAGAAAGCGCCTAGCTTTCTTCTTCTTCTTCTTCTCCTTCTTCTTCTTCTTCTCCTCTCCTCTTCTCCTCCTACTCCTCCGAAGTACTTCTTCTTCTTCTTCTTCTTCTTCTTCTTCTTTTTCTTCTTCTTCTTCTTCTGCTTCTTCTTCTTCTTTATTAGAGTAGAGATAGAGGTAACTGCAGACATTGTTTTGACACGGCCTTCTGCCTTATTGGACGCGACATTCAGATCGAACTTACACTCTGCATTGGGATTGAACTGTGTGTGACATTCGGAGATCAGACTTGGGTTGGACTTGGGTACCTCTATGTCCCTCCCCCCCTTCTCTCTCGCATGTCTATGGATCTCTCCCCATGTGTGTGAGCG